CAAGATGGATACCGAGCAGAGGGTGACATCATTCCCCGTGCCTCGAGGGTGAGGATGCTTTGGTTGTTTCTGTCAAATCTTTAAGCAGTTGGGGCGCCTGGGTGGCTCAGTCCTTAAGCGTCTGCCTTCGGCTCAGGCCAGGGTCCTGGGATGGAGCCCCACATCGGGCTCCCTGCTCAGCAGGAAGCCTGTTTCTCCCCCTCCCACTCCCCCTGCTTGTGTTCCCTCTCTCGCTGTGTCTCTCTTTGTCAAATAAATAAATAAAATCTTTAAAAAAATCTTTAAGCAGTTGTTGCTCCTTTTAAGGCTAGATATGTTCCTTCTGGTGAGTTGCAAAATTGAAAAGGTTCTCCATCCCCCATTCAATCATTACAAGCTCAACCAGTGGATCAGACAGAGTGGGACTCAGTCGGGTCTATTTCCAATGCTCCAGGCCCCACAAGTAGGCTTGGAACAGGGCTTCCCTTACTCAACCTCACACTGAAAAGCACCTTAGCAGCTCCTTTTAATGAAACAACCATGGAAATCACAAGCAGAGCTAGGCAACCCCTCAGAAGCTCAGGGGCCATCTTCATTTCTTAGCACTTCCCCGCCCCCCAGTCTCTGGCGGTGTCAGTCTCACCTGCGTGTGTGTAAGCAGACAGCGTAAGGGCTTTCTCCTGCTGTCATAAATCTCTGCAGATTCAAAAGGCAAACACAAAGAGCCCCAGCTCAGAGATTCGCTGGCCAAATTCAGCAGCAAGGTATTTTGGAATTGCTGATCTGAGGTTTTCACGCCTGTCCTTCCTCGGTCCCCACCCCCTTGCTCCTTTATTGTGAATGCACCTCTTTGTTTCCCACCCACACAGATCAGTGAAGAATTTCTCCTGAGCAGTGGTAGGTCCAACAGGGCCATTACTGGGAGAGAAACCCTTGACTTTGCCAAGAAATGTATCCCCCTTTATTGTAACTTTCATCTCCAGGTGGATCCTTGGTTCTCTGCTCAGTGCTTCTCTTTCTGAATTCCTCTTTCTCTGAGAACTCACCTGTGCTGTGCCATAGCTTTTACCATTCACCCCCGAGCTCGTGACAGAGGGATGAGGCCCTTTCAGGGTGCCCAGCACAGTGCCTGGTGCACAGCAGGCTTCTCCCAGAGGGTCTAGTACGGTGTCCAGTGCACAGAAGGCTGAGTGCAGTCCCTGCCACATAGTAGGCTTCTCCCAGAGGGCTGAGCACGGTACCCAGTGCACAAGAGGCCTTTTCACAGGGTGCTGAGCACAGTGCCTGGCACATAGTAGGCTTCCTAGTAAATGTGTACAATTACTTAGCAATCCCACCTCTAGGAATCCGTTCTTTTTTTTTTTTTTTAAGATTTTATTTATTTATTTGACAGAGCACAAGCAGGGGGAGCAGGAGAAGGAGAAGCAGGCTCCCGTTGAGCAGGAAGCCCGATGCGGGGCTCGATCCCAGGACCCCGGGATCATGTCCTGAGCCGAAGGCAGATGCTTAACGACTGAGCCACCCAGGCGCCCCTAGGAATTCATTCTTGATCACACTCTGTGCTCTCTCTAGGTGATTAGAATCTCCTTGATTTCTACCATCTCCGTTTCTTTATCTGTAAAATGAGGAACTTTCCCCTGGCAGGATTGTCTGAGGGGCAACACCGTGGTCCAGTCATACGGGTCAGCAGAGAGAGAGGAGACCAGCAGAGCCTGGGGCTATGATCCACCTTGTCTGCACCTGCTCGCCTGGCTGGGATTCGCTCCCCACCTTTGGCTACCTACTGAAATGCTTCCCTTCCATCAACCTCCCTGCTGGGGACTGCCCACTTTGGTGCTCTCTGTCTCTCTGTCTCTCTCTCTCTCCCTCTCCTCTTTACTTTTGAAGTCCTTACAGTGAGATGCACATGCTCAAAGCTTCTAATTCTTCTACTTGATTTCAAGCATAGTCAGACAGAGAAGGAGCAAGGGACGTAAAGGTGAGATCTCTATTACAACTATTTCCCCCCATTCCCTTTACAATGCCTGGCTGAAGGCTGAAAATGTGTTCAAAAGAAGCTTACCAATTGACTGGCTTACAAAAGAATTTGCATCTCAAGAAATTTTGTTACTATTTTCCTCCTCATGTATCACCACAGAACACTGTAACAAACAAGATCCATGGTCAGAAACCAAAGAGAAATCACTCTACATTGCACTCCTATTGCATATTAGTGGTTGGATTTTTTCCCCCACTTTCTTTTCATTTTTTGTCTTCATGCGCCAAGAATTTATACAAAGCTGTGATCACAGTGTAGCTAGAATTTGGCATTCTGCTTTTTTTTCCACTCAATATGCCACTGTGGATATTTTTTCATTTTGTGACAGAATCTTCATAATTATCTTTTTTTTTTTATGGGCTGCATAATACTCAAGCGTGTGGGTGTAGCATAATGCACTGAACTGTTTCCCTGCTGTTGATAATGGAGGCTGGTTCTGAAATCTCACTATTACAGACAATGCTATAATTCACCCTGTGGGTATATGTTGAGCACCTACCCTGAGGCAGAAGCAGTGCTTGGCTCTGCAACAGGCACTGAGTACCTGTTGCTTGTGTCTTCTTCTGGATTCTTTGCTGAGGGTAGGGTTGGTGGGACAGAGGGCATGAACCCATCTGTGACTTCCTAGTCATTTTCGATGGAATCCTAGGGTCTCTGCTTAAACACATAAGGAATCGGTGGAAGTCACATTTGAAAGAAGCTGGTGTTGAGGCAGGTCTCAGATGCTGTCTCTTTCTGCTCTTCTTTCTTTTAAAGATTTATTTATTTGACAGAGAGACACAGCGAGAGCAGGAGCACAAGCAGGGGAGTGGGAGAGGGAGAAGCAGGCTTCCCGCCGAGCTGGGAACCTCATGCGGGGCTGGATCTCAGGACCCTGGGATCATGACCTGAGCTGAAGGCAGACGCTCAACTGACTGAGCCACCCAGGCGCCCCTCTTTCTGCTCTTCTGACATCAGCATGAATCACTGACTCGGGGCTAGAAAGGCAGCAGGTTGTGGACAGTGAAGTGATGCGGCGGGGGGGCGGGGGGTGGGGGGATGAAAAATTCTCTAGGGAAAATGGGGAAGGCAGGAGCTCTCTGGTTATGTACTGCCACTTACTTACTTACTTACTTATTTAAGGTGTTATTAATTTATTTGAGAGAGAGAAAACACAAGCAGGAGAGGGACAGAGGGAAAGGGAGAGGAGCCTGACGTGGGGCTCGATCCCAGGACCCTGGAATCATGACCTGAGCCACCCAGGGGCCGCTCACTGTCACTCTTTTAGAAGAGTAGCCACCCCCTGACCGTCTTTCCCCATTGCTTCCCACATCCTGCTACCTCCAGCTACTCTGGTCCTCTTTCATACTCTTGAATTTACCAAGTCATTCCCGAGCCTGGCCCTTAACACATGCTATTCTGCCTGGTCAGAAATGCTGTTCCTATGGCCAGTTTCTCATCCTTTAGTGTTCAACCCGAATCTCACTCTTTGATGGACTCTATGTCTGATCTCCCCGTCTGCATATGTTCACCAGCATCTTGTATTTCTCCACCAGAGCACATATCAAGAGTATAAATCAATCTATTTTTTAAAATACTGTTTTTTGTCCCTCTTCCCCAACTAGACTCAAAGCTCCACGAAGGCAGTGACTCTCAAGATGGTTTTTTTGGCCAGATCTTCTGCCCTAGCACAGCACCTGGCCCATCACAGACACCTGGTATTAAGGTGGTCAGGGTATGAATGAGGAATGAATGCTTGCAAAATTATCATTTAAGGGATTAAAGGCAAAGCCTGCTGGAGGGACAATGGCAGTTCATTTTCCAGACCACAGTTCAAGAGATTCAAGTTATAAGAAGGAAGAGCTACATGAGGGTTAGGAAAGTAGGCAAAGGTCCATCCAGGAAGTCTTTAAAATATGCCTGCAGTGTCTAGATACCTGAGAAACAGGTGCTAAACCTCTAATATCTAGTTTGGAAGCTCTTTTTTCACACCCCACTGAAATTACCGGGACAACCTTAAATTCTGTGCAAATCTCTACCTTTAAAATTAAAAAACAAATCTGAAAATCCAGACCATCAGAAGACTCTCCTTTCCAAAAGACTCCCCAAATTTCACCTAATCTGGTCTAAGTCTATACCCTTCGACAACCAGATCTCCCATTCTCTAAGTCCTTCAATTTGGAGAAAGTTGTTTCTTGATTATGATGCTACGCGGACAACTGAATTTCTCTGTGTCGTACAATTTAAGGCCAGGAAATGAAGAGACCGAAACCACAGCTCTGAGACTTCTCTGAATCCCCTAAGGAGCTGGGAGTGGAGCGAGCCCGAGCAACAGCCTCCCCCACATTCTGAGCGGCAGCAGGGGTGTGACACGCAAATCATCTCAAGGTTGCTGGGTTTCCCACCTGATTTCCCGTGTTGACATGCACAGGGCCATGGTCAATAGCTTCAGGACCCCAGCTGGAGCATGGGTCAGGTTATATACCCACGTTCCCCACCGTGGCTCTGTACCCACCAGCAACCTGATCTCCCTGCCTTGCAGCCTCCCACCTCCCAGTCCTCCTCTACACACCACCAGTGACTCTTCAAAACTCAAATCTGATCGTGTCACCACTTCGTTCCTCCGGCGGCTCTCCGTCACACCCAAGTTGGAGTCCACATTTCCTTGGTCTGTCATGTGAATGAATGAGAAATAAACTTCTCGATGTAAAGGTCATGTCACAACCACTATCATAATGTAGCTTGGCAAGTTACTCAACTGCACTGTTCCTCAGTTTTATCCTCTTCAAATTGGGGGGGGGCTGTCATAATAGGGTTGCTGAGAATTAAATGAGCTCATCCACATCAAGTATTCAGCACAGAGCTAGTAATATTCGGCCCCTGGTATACGTTTACTATGATTACTGTTACTATTATGATCATCAGCCCTCCTCTAAATGAGTGCTACTGTTCTTTAAGAGAAGAGCAAGGACCAACCTGGCGCTCTTTAGAGCAAACACCTTACCTTTTCACTTCCTGCACATAGTCTGCATTTCTGTCAAAGAGGTGGGTCATGGATTCTTTGATTGCTTCATGCTTGAAAGTAGAAGCTGTTCCAAAGACAGTCACATTGGGGATAGTGGAACACAGCTGAGCCACAGCTTGGCCCTGGAAGTGAAATACAATAGACAAGTCACAAAGGAGAGTTAGCATCCAACAGCCAGTCTTGCTGGATTAGAGTGGGGTTTCTCAACCTTGCCACTCCTGACCTTTCTTAGGCTGGATCAGTCTTTCTGTAGGGGGCTAAAGTGGGCATTGTAAAATGTTTAGCAGCGACTTGCACCTCTGACCTGCTAGGTGCAAGTAGCACCCCTCGGTTTTGAAAACCCAAAATGTCTCCAGACATTTCAGAATGTCCCCTGGGGGACAAAGTCTCCCTTGGTTGATAACTACTGAAAAACTCTCGTACCAAGACTTAACAACTATTATTTTACCACACTGAACCTCAGGTTCCTCATCTATAAATTAGCAATAATGGCACCTACTCCATAGGGATCTTGGGAGATGTCTTAGCTTGGATCCCCCAGAAGCTGAGGCAAGGATTTGAGAGTAAATACTTTATCTGGAATATGACCAAAGGAAATACCAGCGTATCGAGACAGAAGGAGAAGGCAGCCAATAAAGGGTGTGCTATCAAGTCAACACCCACCATGGGTAAATGGAACTCAGTCCTTCTGAGGAATTCCCTGAGCAGGTGTAGAATATACCTCAGAGTTATCCCCAAACACATGGTGAGGAGGCTGGAGTATTTATTTCCTAAATTTCCATCTGCTATCAGTTGAGAGTTGCTTCTGCAACAGTAACTCCTAGGTACATCTGGCTTGTTTTCATGGGCCAAGCCACTCCCACGGCCAGACTCGAAGCCCTAAGTATGCAACCTTCAGCAACATTGAATGCAGAGAAGATATGGTGACAGCATCCACTCTGGGGCGTGTTAAATGAGGCAATGTGTAACACGGGCCAAGAACCTGGCCCAAAACACGATACTTAATATAAATTACTCAATAATTCTTAATCCTCTGTTCCCTTTTGTGGCTGAGATGTCCAGGCATATAAAGAAGAGGCGAATGCATGAGGTTTAAATATTGAATGGTCTAAGAGAAATCACAAACCCAGTTAGGAATGGGTGTTTTTTCCACATCCTTTCTCAGTATGATCAGAAATGTAAGTCCTTGGACAAAATACTGTGATCATATGAATTCAGAAACATTCCAGTAAAATCCAATTTGCTGCTAATGAAGGTGCATTCTAAAACCAAGTACTCTTTCCAGGCTTCTTTCTGCCATCTTAAGGAGGCAGAGATTATTCGACCAAAGTGAACTGTGATATTAACTTCTGCCTATCACTTCATTACATGTGTTCATGTTGGTGGACTAAATCAGGTTGGCAGGTCTATTTTTGGAAATGTTATTCTTCCTAACACTGGCAATGAAGAAAGGCAACATTGACAGAATCCTAGAATGTCAGGGTTAGAAGATCATCCAATTACTCCCTCCCTATCATTGTTCCACAGATGAGGGAAAGGTGACTCAGAAAGGTTAAGTAGACCCAGTTCTTCAAAGGCACATCGAGATTCAAAGCAAGGACTCCTAACTTCTGGTTCTTGCCATTTTCCGTAATGCCATGTCATCTACTTATTTTGACATTTTAAGCTAAGCAGACTTTGAAGCTGCTGCCTAAAATAGACACGTTACTGACTTGGGGGTCACCATTTCGGAACATGGGCATGAACCTGAGACTCCTGTCAGACTATCATTCTTTCTTCTAAGAATACCTTTGATGTTTGGTTAATCTTTTTTATCACTTGATTTTAGAGAACAAAGAGAGGACTATCCTTCTTGATGAGTGGAAATACCAGCAACCAATGCAGCAATCCTCTAAAATCCGAAAGGGCTTGAGCTAACCTCGTTTGTGCTGGGATGGGAGATGAGATCTAGTTCCAGTATTTGTGTGGTCCCTCCTGCCCGCTGTCCGTAGGCCACCAAGACATTTATCCACTCAACTACTTTTTCCAAATTCCTATTATGTAATGGTCACACGGTTCGATGGATGGATGCAGGAGTGTCAGAAATGAGTGACACACCTTACTCTCTATTCTCTGGTCCCAAGTCCCCCACCAAGACTTAGATTTGTGTATTGAATGACAGCCTTGGTGCCGGTCTCCACCTGGCTATCCAAAAACAACACATCAAAGTCAACTCATCCAAAACATAACTTTTGACTATCTCCAAATGAGTTACTCCTTATATTGCTTTGCTGGGGCCGTTGTAACAAAAATACCACAGACCGGGGGGCTTACACAACAGAAATTTGTTTCACCATTCTGGAGGCTATAAGTCCAAAATCAAGGTGTTAGCAGGGTTGGTTCCTTCCAATGGCTGTGAGGGAAGGGTCTGGTCCAGGCCTCTGTCCTTGGTTTGTAAATGGCTGTCTTCTCCCTAGGCCTCTTCACATGGTCCTCCCTTTATCCACCACTGATTGACATTCGACATGATCCCAGTGCTGTGCAACCCTCATTCCATGGTGTCCAACCTGTGTCCAAATTTCCCCTTCTTATAAGGATACCAATCATGTTGGATTAGGACCTACCCTCATTTAAACTTGATTATCTCTTTAAAGACCCTACGGCCAGATGAGGGCACCTTCTGAGGTACTGGGGGTTAGGACTTCAACAAACAAGATTCAACCCATAACATTCCTCTTACTGCATTTCCTGCCTCGGTGGATGAAACTGTACCATTTACCTATCGCTCGGCTAAAGTCAGGAATCTGGGGGTCACCTGACTCTTCTTCCCCCTTCAGCTCCACATCCAGTTAGTGTATTGTTTCTACGCACACCTCTGTGACTATCACCTCTCAGTCTGGGTTGTTGAACTTCCTCGCCTGGATGATGACAACACACTTCTGGCTGCCTGGCTGTTTCCAGGCGTACTTCACACCGTGGACAGATTGATTTTTCTCAAACACAACACTGAGTATCTCACTATTTGTCTCAAAGCTCCGCAGTGCCTACCATGGCTTTCAGAATGAAAAGCAGACCCCTTTTTTTTTAATTTAAAAATTTTTAAGATTTTTATTTATTTATTTGAAAAAGAGTGAAAGACAGAGGGCACGAATCGGGGGAGGGGCAGAGGGAGAAGCAGACTCCCCGCTGAGCTGGGAGGCCGATGCGGGACTCAATTCCAGGACCGTGGGACCATGACCCGAGCCAAAGGCAGATGCTTAACCTACTGAGCCACCCAGACACCCCTGAAAAGCACACCCTTAAGTTTATCCAACAGGCTGGCGCTCTGAGATCTGAGCTAGTTTACCTGAGAACATGCTGTCCCTCCACTTTTCTAGTATCTGCTCCCTAACAAAACATGGCACTTGATCTACCACTGATTGACATTCTCCATGATCCCAGTGCTGTGCAAGCCTCATTCCATGGTGTTCTCAGAATGAACCTTGAACCTGACTCTGCTGAGGAGGAGACTGAGTTTTACGGAGGTTAGACACCTGGTCCAAGGCCACTAGGGTAAGATGGCAGACCTTGATCTGCTGTACTCACCGGCTGAGCAAGCTAGAGTAACATATCAGTTCTTCTGTTCGTTCGTCTTAATATGCAGAATGTAAGCCTATCTATACTCTAAGGTTTTTGTGGGACTATTTGACATAATGCATCCAAGGGCTGAGATCATTTACAACAGTGAATGCTCAGTATTTGTTGTTACTACTCCTATGAATACTATTATTATTTTTCTTGCTGTTATGTCAGCAGTATCTGACAGTATGTCAGCAAATCTGTCCTGCTCTCCTGAAGGTATCACCCTATTTTAACATGGACACGAGTTCCTCACATGCTGTCCCCTGCCTATCATGCCTGTCCTTCCACTTCTGCCTTCTGATCACAGCCATTCCCCCTTAGGCAACTCTTCTTCCAGAAATCCTTCCCCGGCAGGGTCGTTTGCCTCTTTTTGTTCCACCATAGACCTGTAGTTCCTTCCTCCAGGACAGTGGCCACCAGGACCTTTCTGGGGCTGCTGAGCAACCCGTCTGTGGGTCCCATGAGGCCAGAGACCATGCCATATCGGGCTCTGTACCCCAGTGCCCAGGGCAGAGCCTGGCATATAACAGGTGTTTGGTAACACTTGTCAAATGGATGCATGAGAAAGTACAGGAATGTGATGTAACGGCGGGGGGGGGGGCTCTCATCATTTTGCAGATTGCCATGTCCTTTAGCATTGCAGAGTAGGTGTAAAGCACAGATTCAATTAACGTATCTAGCATCTGACCTGAGCAGAACTTTACCATTCCCATTTACAAGGAAAAGATACCTGTGGTAGCAAAATGAGACGATATAATTAACTGGGTTACTTATGTATTTATATAATTATATAACATAATACATGAGTATTTTTATATAATATAAAATACAGAAATATAAAAATATATAATATGTATAATTAGAATATAAAATTAGTATTATATGTATATATATGTATAATCAGTATTATATAAGCATACATATATAAGTAGCAATATCTGATATTATAATATTCTACTTGTAATATATAATTAATATAACAATATTACATAGTCATATATAATATATAATTAGCATAACATGCAAGTATTATTTATAATATTATATCATAACTTGTATTATCATATAAATAGTACGGGGTGGAAAAGCAAATTCAGTGGACATCTGTTTGTAGCACCCCCCACTTTGAGCTCTCTATTAACTCACTAAGGCAATGGGAGGCCCTTGCAAGATCCTCAGTGATCTAAAGTAAATAATACTCAGCATTCTGAAGTGAAGCAGAATGTGCGCTTTCCCTCACACTTAACAGAAAATCTGTACTCTCCCTTCTCCGACTCCCAAGGTGAGTGCCAGATCAGCATCTAATTTATCCCTGTTTCTCCCACGTGCCTAGAAAATAGCATGGGCTCAATAAACATTTGTGGAAGACGGAATGAATTTTCAATAACAAGGATTTTGCAATTTACCTACAGACCCAGGACATAAAATGAACAAGACAATCTATTCTCCCAGCAACAGCAACAAATGGAGCTTTGCACGTACTTGTTTTTAATTGATTTTCCTGTCCCTCTTTAGAATGTAA